GAGAGGCAAGAGAAAGTATGAGAGCGAGGAGGCGGGCAAGCAGCCCCTTTTATAGTGAGTCTAGCATACCCGGTTGTTGCCAGGTAACTGTGGACAGAGCTTAGAATTCGCACAGGAGAATGCCCTAGAGGGCAAACAGCCATATGGCTGTAGACATTGTTTTCCCAGCACCCTTCCTTCACGCCTGCTCACTTTCTACCTGATATACTCTACTCCTCTCAGGGAACAGTACCACACTGTAACTGTCTGTGCCCCTTACCTCCCAGGCTCCTAATAGGCCCTGTCTTCATAGTTCTCTTCGGGCACTCAGATGCTTAAGCTGAGAAACAAAGAGGCATGCTTGGTTTGATGTCAGCCATCCCTCTGCATCCGAAAACATTCTTTGCATCACACACAGATACCAAGTGGTGATATAGGAATTTCAGGTCTCAGTTTAAACTTAAAATTGAAAGAATCTCAGGCTTCAGTTTAAACTCAAAAATTAACTGCCCTAGGACACATTCTGGGAGTAGCACATTCCAAAGACTTACATACACATTCCAGGGGAAGGGCCCAAGATAAGAGGTAATCAGGAAACTGGGCCCTTAGTGAAATAAACCTGGGCAAACGGAAGCCACTTAACTAACACTCATTGTCACAAAAATAATGTGCAAATCTGAGTCACCTAGAGATCAGACCTGGGAACAGCTGTTGAGGTCAGCCTTTGTGGTTATTGTTTAAGAGATAAAACTGCCCTCATGAACTCTGTATAAAAACTACTCTCAGCTTTGGCTTGGGGTTCCTCTTGCTTGCGTTCGAGGGAACCCCAGTGCACTGGTTATCAACAATAAACCTCATGTTGTTGCAGCAAATCCTCTGTCCATGAGTGTTTCAGCGGGAGGGCATCCCCTGATTTAGATCTTAGAGTTCAACAGTGACTGTGCCAGTCCCTCTATACAACAGGGGAGTATCTGCATATAACCAATGCACATCGTATTGCACACTTTAAATCAACTTTAAATGATTTATAGTATGCAGTTCAATGTCAATGCCAAGTAAATAGTTATTATACTGAACTGTTTAGAAGCAATGATGAGAAAAAAGTGTCTATGCATGTTCAATAATGACGCATTTTATGAATGTTATTTTTGGTTTGGGGATGATCCAGATATGGGTTTGTGTTTCGCCTCGCAGCTGGGGTGTGTGAATACCACTCTGGGAATGGAAACAAAGAGGCACTAGGCTATGTTCCTTCCTCATTTCCATCAGGGTGCTGACACTCGCTCAGGGGAGGCAAAACAAAGCCTAAGTTGGGGGCCCCCAGCCCATGAGAAACAGAGTAGGATGGTGCTGAGGCTGTGCTTTTCTAACTCCCGTGCACCTAAATGCCACTGGGAACCTGAGGAGTGAGAATAGGCTCAGGCTTTCAATGAGTCTGGGGCCAAGGGTGGGGGGTGGGGATCTAGCTTAGCTCAGGGTGTCAGGTGCGCAGAGGCCTTCTGCAGGAGGCTTAGGCTGTGTGGCTCAGTAATGAAAACTTCGCCCATGGCTGTTCTTGATGAGAGAGACAGTCCTTGCTCGTCCAAACTGTTTATTCATGGTGGAAAATGGATGCACACCAAGTACTCAGGGTGGACTAGAGATTAAATACCTTTTACAAGATGGGGAAGGAAAGCTTATTGGCTCAACCCTCCAGGCGGGCTGCTTGACCTTACCAGTTTTTCTGTCTGTTAATATGGTTTGATTTGCTCCACATCTAGAGGCCGTGGTTGTAGAATGAAAACTTTGGGTGAAATGTGCTCTCTAATCTTTTCCTTGAAATAGGGTTCTTTGTGGGACTGTATAAGGGTATCCTGGGTCATGGTTGAGCAGGTACTTAGAACCCCGAGATTCTCCGTGGAATTCTGCGTGAGAACTGGCAGGAGTTCGGTACCTCCCATCATCTAGGATCCTGAAAACAGCCACATTTCCATAGAGTCACATAGGCCAGGCTTTAGGCCTCAAGCCCTAGAGATTTACATACTAATGAAGGCCAGAGGGCAGAGCAAATTAAACATTCCTCCCCCAGATCCTCCCCTAATCCTCCCCCTTTCTCCCTCCCTATATAACTCGGGACAGCCCTGAGTTTTTGGGGGTACGCCTAGATCCATCTATTATCCGTCATGTCAATAAACCTTTTTGGAACCAAGGACTTCCTCGTGTTACTGGGGCCTGCCGCCGCCAAGGCCCTCAGGCCGCTGGAACCGTAGGATCTTCTTCCCAGATGTGGGACCTGCCACGGTGGCGCAAGCTTGCACCGCTGTGGCGGCCTTTTTTTAATTTTCCCCACATTTCTTAACCTTCCTGGAAGTGGGCCAGGAAGCTGGAGAGGATCCACAGACAATTCTGCTGGTTAAACAGAATATTATGTTGACATGTGTCAGATCTCCTGACCAAAGTTGACATCCTGATGTCATCTCACATGCAATCATAAAGTCTACTCTTTGCTGAAGTTCTGGTGCTCTCATAGAGAGATCCTGTAAACTCTCTGGGTCCGGCTTCCAGCTCCACCTGTTAGGCAGCTACTGTTGCAAGTTCATTGTTCCCAGCGTGGAAAGCTGTAAACTGTTCTAGGCCTCACAGTGCCATGAAACAGGAAGAGCCTGGGGCTCTGCCAGTGAATATTCCAGAAATAAACCCATGCTTAATGACACCATGAAGTCAACCCCCTTTTGTTTGTTTTTAGTCAGTATCCTCTTACCTCCTTTGTATGAGTTTGCAGTTATATATCGCAATGTCTTGAAGTTCTTAAGCCTGAACAGTAGTAGATCTCTCTAGTCATAAAACTGAGTCAAAATCCTCAAGCTTTAAGAGTGAAACTTACTCTCGTCATACATAAAATTACATTTAAGCCTTAAAATTCCAGTTTGCCTTGAACAATCAGTCTGTAAGGAACTTTGTTTTCAGCATTCCAACAAAATATGTCTAATTTAGTATTAGAAAAAAATTTGAGTTGGTCAAGATTTTTTTTTTTAAGCACTCTCCAACTAAAACTTTCTCTTTACTCTCATGGAATTAATCTCAATGCCTGGAATCAAACTCATATAGCCATCTCAAATAAATGGAGAATGTTAGTTAAAATAAGTTAATTTTTGAAGTCTTTGAGAAATTTCTTTTACTAAAAAAGTTAAATCCTTTTCTATATGACCTGACTGGTCTCTCTGCTCGATGACCCCTCAGGACACTATTGCAGAAATGGTGTCAGGATCCTCTATGCTGCTCAGACTAGAGAGATGCATGCAGACTGTGCAGAGCCCCTGAAGGAAACAAACCCTTGTCCCTTCCTCAGAGGAGCTGCTGAAGACCTGAGCTGAGGAAAAAACATCCCATTGTCTGAGGCATCAAGACGTCACATCCTCAGGCCTTTCTATTAGGAGCCATAATCCTGATTCCAGACACGTGTGCCCTTCCCAGCTGAAAAGGGTCTGGCAAACTGCCTGGCTTCCTCTGCTCCCAGACTTCCCTGCTGCACAACAGAGATAAATGTTGTTACCTTTCTCTCTCAGTGTTCTGAAAATAAGTGAGACAAATGTTCTGGGGTCCATAGAGAGGACTGGCTGAGGCACATCTGCAAACTTTATAAGCTCAGGGTTTATTTGCTTCACTTGGCTTTTGCTTTTATCGGTCTGTTTGCCTGTTGATTTTGTCACACACTTAGAAACCCTAAATTACATTAAATAATAACTTCTCATCCAATATTAATGGAGAATGTATAGTATCAGAAGCATTTAGGCTAGTCACCTGGAGAAGAGAAGGGCATCATCTCCCTCTCAGGGAACTGCTTGCTCATTTGGCTAACACAGGTGGGAGGCAAGGAGAGACCCACTTTACAATTACAGTTAGAGACCCGGGAGAAAGTGCTCAGTCTTCCTGAGCTTTGCTGGTGTCTGACATAAACCAAAACAGTTAAGAGTTGTTGAGTGTCTACTACATGGTAGGAGTTTTATGCAGTTTGTTTGCATCAAATTATTTAAAAATCAGAACAATTGCCTGAGATGGGCGCTATGATCATTCCTGTATCTGTAGCTTCATTTTATAGATAAGAAAGCAGATGCTGAGAGAGGTTACAACTCGCTCCTGGATGTACAGTTAGGGTGTGTGGAACCAAGAAGAAAATCCAAGCTGCCTGATCTTAAATCCTGTACACTTAACATAACTCTAAACTATCTTTAAAATGGGAACATAGTAAAACCTCAAAAAACTTGTCAGACTCAAGTTACATGATGCATAGAAAGTTGTTAGTGTGGGGTCTGACACACAATAAATGTGCAATAAATACAGACACAGCCATTGAAATGATTACACACATACGTACAGAAGCAGAGTCAGACCTACTGGTGCTGTTCCTTTAAACACAGCACCCAGGAGGCAGAGGCAGACAGATCTCTGTGAGTTTCAGATTAGCCAGAACCATACAGTGAGACCCTGCCTCAATAAATAAATGCCACAGTGCAAAGTCAGAAATAAGCACATCTGCAGTCTATTTCCCAGGAAGACCTCTTCTTGTACAGTACAGTACCATCATGGGATTACAGGAGACGACTGGGCTGGGGAGGAGCAGGCTGTGAATCACAGCTTCTCTAAAGAGCAGCAACCTCAATATCCAGAGCTGCTCAGGAGTAGGACTGTTAAAGCAGCCGGAATGGTTCCCTGTTAACATTCAGGCTGCAGTCATGAGGACAGTTTCCAATCGAGCAATATAGAAATGCATCTGCTGCAGTCATCCTTCTGTCCTTTAATGCTGGCTTTGCAGTCGCCCTAGGAATAAACAACAGTGTGAAGTCTCTTTCACTGTCTCAGAATCACAACCCCCAAGGGATTCTGATCATACGATCTCTCAGAGTTGTTTGAAGAAAAAAAAATGCATGAAGAGCCAAATGCTTACACTCTGGCCAAGTTAGGAGCCTATGAGAAGGAGAGGCTCGGGGAGGGCTGTTCACTCCATGCATGCTGCAGAATTAGCTCTCTCCCTCTGGGTCTGCTCTGCCTGCAAAGCTCAGCAGCACGGAGGGAGTAAGGGAGCTAGATCCAGGGATCTGCAACAGAAACCATGACAGCCTAAATACCCTGTGGTGCCAACTCCCAGATTCTCATCTATCACTTTCAGACCCTGACTGGCCACAGAGCAGCAGAATTTCAACTCCAATAAACTTGAATGTGCTTCTAGGAAAAGAAGCCAAGCTAAGGAGGAAGGGGGTTGGAAGAGCTTCTCTTGGGCATTTGTCAGACTTCTACCTCCTGGCTGTGTGCAAAGAGGGGACTCAACCTCAGCTTCAAGCTCCCGGCTCTGGATCCTGCCTCTCAGCAGGTAAATGCTAAATTTTCTTGTATTGCCCAACTGCATGTATTAAACTGACTTCCCTGATCTAAAAAGACTATTTGATGATTCTGCTTAAATAATTCAAAGGCATGTGTTAATTTTTCCAATCCCGTTTTGAGTGATTTAGATGAGGGGAAAAAAGAGACTCTTACTTTGTGTGGTCATGTCTCATTTCCTCTTACAACATTAAATTAATGGAACCATAGTTTTAGTAATGACCAAGACAGAAGAATAGATTTCAAAGTCAAAAATGTGTGCTTGCCATGTTTAAATTACCAACACTTATCTGTCATTGTCTTAGACCTGATAGCAGTATAGAAATAGAACGCTTTGGTTTTTTTTTTAGTTAGGAAATCTTTCTAACAGTATATTCTTCTTCGGTTATTTTCAAATTATCCCTTCCCTGACAGCTTTAACAGATCTCTCTCGCCTATCTATCCTTTGTTAAGACGTACACCAGGGGACATGGAATATGCCCAGTTCCTGATTTTGTCTTCTGTAGAAAAACAAAATGCAAAAGGAGAAATAAGAGCTAACAACTGTGCTGTCTCTGAAAAGGTCCTCTCATCTGGGCTTTTCCCAAATACAGCATTTACTTCGAGCCTTGCTTGCTCATTCCTTCAGGAACAAGATCACTCTGCAAGGAGAAAACTATAACCCTGCTTTCAGCTGCCAATCAATACAGTTGAAAAGGTACCCGAGAAGTCCTGCAGTAGAGTTTCATCTGCAGTGCCTTTTGTCTGCAAAGAGGTTAAATAGGCCACCTTGACATTGCAGACTCCTCTGGGTCAGGCTCAAACTACACTGAATCGAAATGTGCCCACACTGAAAAAACAAAATTATCCTCTCCTTTCTCTTAGATCCCAAGATTTTGTTTTCAGTTTTTAGCTTGCTCAGCTAAATCTTTGTTTCTGACTGGTTTCCTTTGTTTTTCTTAAAGACCCCCTATTAAGAAAGATTTAAATTTTGGATCATCTAATGAAGTCCAGCAAGGTAGAGCAGTCTCTTTCCTCTGCTAATCAATCACCAGACGGGACTTCCCACATCTAGAAAGAATGTGTGTGTTGTTTGAAGACCAAGCACCCACCCCCACTTTTTTTCAAAGAGTTTTTGTACAATCACTAGGCAGTTAAAGTACTGGGGTGTTTTCCTTGTCCTTCATTGTATCTCCAGCAGGCTCTTCTGGCACAGGCCCACAGTAAAACAATAAATAGTGGTGACAGATGAGGTGTGTGGTGGAACATCTGGAGCACCCCAAAATGTCCCTTACATTCTCTCTTGACCCGTGTTCTTTCTCAGCTGATGTGCAGCCAGATGTGGACATGAATGCTTTAGTTAAGTTTAGCACAATGTCCAAAACATATTGGATGTTATAAACAACTTGTCAAAAGGCTTAAGGTGTGTTGGACTTTCCTATCATCCTGGAACAACCTTTAGTGGGGGAAAAAAAAAAGCCATAAATCCAGGAGAAGCTCTTACAGGTCTCCCAGGATGCCTTCTGCAGAAGCTCCAGTTGTGCCGGTACCACCACCTAGCCAAGGCCTGTGTCTTTGTCATTAACATCAAAGGATGTACAGAACTCTGGAAGAAAGTGACTGCTTCAAAGACAGCCAATCTAATTAGCATGAGAAAGAGGAAATGGGCTCTGGTTCATACATGATGACTATATAGCTCTGACTTACATTAGACTACATGCATGTGGTTTATATGCACATTGTCACAAGAAATAATAGCTCAGGGACTCTGGACAAATGACTTCACCTTTTTGTACCATAAGAACCCTTTGTCATAATCATAAATAAGAATCATAAAAACAATAGATACTACAGAGATTGGATGGGAGAATGAGCTGGAAAAAGGATGTATCATTAGCATTCTGTCTAAACTCCACTCCCACAGTTACCTGGCAACAGCCAGGTAGGCCTGGCCGAGTATAAAAGGGGATGCTTGTCCCCCTCCTCACTCTCTTACTCTTCTGCTCTTGCTTCTCCTCTCTCCCCCTTTCCCTTCCCTTCCTCCTCTCTCCACGAAGTCATGGCCAGCCTCTACTCCTCTACCTCTCTACTCTCTCCTCTCTCTCTCTCTCTCTCTCTCTCCCTCTCTCTCTCCCTCCCTCCCTCCCTCCCTCCCTCCCTCCTCCCCCTCCCCCCCCCTCTCCTCTCTCTCCTCTCTCTCTCTGCCTCTACTACCCTCCTGGCTCCCCTGCCCATGCCCTGAATAAACTCTACCGAGACATCCCCTTCCCCCATACCTCTCCACACACCTATAGAACATACTCTTTATCTCTTTATCTTTTTATAAACACAACAGAGGCTTCTAGTAGCAAAATTAGAAAAGAAGAAGGAAATATTCTTAAGTTATTTTTTCTTTATTCAAAGAAACATAAAAGAAGCCATCTTAGGACCTCAGCACAATGTGTTTGTTAAGTCTCCCTGCTTTATCATTTAGCTGCTTCTGCAAAGGCCAAGTCTAATGAAAGGGACCGCCCTCAGTGTCAGCCCTTCCGGAGGCTTGGAGGAGCCATGCCAGTCTGCAGTCGGCCCTGCTTGAGGGGTTTGCTTGGACCAGGGAAAAAGGCCCCAACACTTTCTTTTCAGATCTTTCTTGAAGGCAAGAATAGAGGTTTTGACTTGCTCTGGGGGTGTTCTTTCTGTTGACAGGCAAACAAAAAGGCTTTTTTGGTGGTGGTTGTTGTGGTTTTTTGTAAACCTCTCCCCTATGTTCCTAGCACTGAGATGTCAGCTGCTTTTCCTGGCTGCAGTAAAGCAGGAGCTGCCTGTTGTCATAGTGATGAAAGGGTATAGAGGGGAGCCCAGGTCTTCACCAGCTCCGTGAAACAGCCCTGGCTGGCCTTAAAATGCCTCTGTGGAGACGAGGTCACCAGTCCTGCCTCATTTCTTTCCTATTATACAACCAACTTAAGTGCAGCAGTAGCTAAATGTTTCCTTAAAGGATTCAGTGAATAGGAAGTATTGAACTAAGAGGTAAAGCAGAAGCCATCTCCCATGGATGCAAGGATAAACAACCCGTAAGGGAAAGGAGAAATGGCCGGTCACCTCACTTGCTTGGTGACACACACAGCTGTTATTACTCAGCATCCAACCTGCATTTCAAAAGCCTCAGTTTCTCCCCCCACTCAAATCCTGCTAAGCACCCACCCAGCACCTTATGCTCTTCACAAAGTCAGTGCTGGCAGGGATGGCCCTTTTGAACTTGGAGTCTCCCAGAGAGTAAAACAGCCTCAGAAGAATCCTTGCTTTGTTGTGGACCTGTAAAGAAAAAAAGCACGGGAATTGTTGTCCATTTAGTTTAATCAGGTTTGTTTATTTGTTTATTTTACATTTAAAGAGGAAAAATGTCTTTTAATACTTAGATGAAGGTGTAAGACATTTCATCTTCCCTAAAATGTTAACTTTCACAACATCTGTTTCTCTGGTGACTTTTAGGTCAGACAACTGCTTAAATGCTATTTTTATCTGATGCCTCAAGGCACTGATGCATGCAGCGCCCCTTATCCAGTGAAATGCCAGGGAGGCAGCAAGGAGAAACTAGAGCAAGACAGGGCTTTTCGGGCTGTGTGTAGGGAAATGGTCATTAATCAAACCATCCCAGGAATGGAAACCTTGAGACCAAAACCACCTTCATTTCTCCGGTGGTTTTGGTCAAACTAAACGTACAAATGAGCAGTGTTAAGGTAATGTATCACGTCGTCTAACTCAATTTATGGAGATTTTAAATACCTTTTCATGTTAAGCATTTCTGTTTTTTATTATCTCACACTTCTGAGTTCTGTGGAGAGTCTTACATATGTGTTGGTCTGGACTGGATCTAACCTGTAGCAGACTGACATTGAGCTCCTCAATCTGGAAGATTACGATTTACCTTTGAAAACCTGCTGACTCTGAGAGTAGCCCCAGGCACAAGTACTCATCCGCATTTTAATTACTTACCAGCTCCTTGCCTCTCCCAGAGCTCGCTAAAGCTTATGTAAAACCACCGGAGTCTGCGACTGAGTCATTTCAACACCAGAAGTGATGAAGTCATGCCTTTAGCGTCGTGGTTAAATCTGCTTTATTTCTTTTCTCGCCCATTTTGTCAAGGTCGCAGGGAATGAATGCAGGCAAAGCTTGAGGCCACTTCAGATTGGTTTCCTGAACAGAACTTTATTGCTCAAAATGAAGTAATTGAGACCATGTACATTAGTGAGAGAGACTACAGGAGCATCTACAATGAATCAATCCATTTATACAGCATAGGTTTTTCGGGTAAAAAAAAAAAATCACACTGTATCTGAGCACACATTGTATGTAACAGTATGCTGAAACCTAGGTTGCATTGGTAAAGCATGTTCGTTCTAAGAGAGTTTGATGGCGCTTAACCTCAAGGTTAAAAGTAGCTTCTCCCTGCCCCTCTGTCCCCTCTACCCCTCCTCCCCCATCTGAAGGCTAAACAGAGGTTAATTGTGTGTGGCAGGGTAGCGGGGGGTGGGGGGGGATAAATATGAACATCTCGTGTGCAGACCTTAGAGCCAGAAGGACCACAGCCTATGTGACAGTTTGATGGACAACCAATCAAATCGTCCAAGAAAGAGCAGAGAAAGAGATGCAGATCTTCAATTTCCCACAAAGCAGCAAGCACTTCAGCACTAAGTATGGGGAGTCTGTCTGATTTGGGCAAGTGCGGCTTAACATGCCTGTGGATTTCTGGTTAGATTCAAAGCCTTGATGGCCATGAGCCTTGTTTACCCCAAATGAAAATCCAGATGATAGGAGATTTAATTGGGAAAGATATAGGTTTCTGTGGTCTGGGAAAATCTGAGAATGTCACTCACTCTCAGAATAAGCACACCTTGATGTCAGACGGTGACTCAGCAGAAAACTCAAAATAGGAGAGCTTTGTGTGATCCTTCAGATGATTTTAATGCCGAGCTGTAGACCTCTCCCTGGAGACTCATTAATACTTTAAAAGCCCCAAAGCACCACTGTTTG